CCTCTTGCCCGCCTTTCCACGGCAACGGGTGCGAGAGACCAGAAACAGAGAGGAAGAAAAGAATCGAAGGGGTAAACGTCTTCTTCCAAGCGGGGCAGCAAGTCACACTTGACCACGTCATCGAATGGTCTCAGATGACCAAGCAGGACTGCTACCGAAGGATTCGGACGGTTGACTGAAGCCGCGAAGCTCCTCGGCCCGAGGACAGGGTGGGTTCGGTTAGGTTGTGAGGGAAGGGGGGGGGGGCCTTTTGGTTGGAATAGATGAACCCGACGAGAGTTCTACGAGACGCCTCATCACCCCGTGCTTCCCGAGACATGGGGATCAGCTTACGTACGTGAGGCGAGGCCATCGTCGTCAGCCGCGTTGTGCACCCGTGGCCGTACACGGAGCGGACAAGCCCTCTGTTGGCTGGAACCGGCCCGACAGTTGATCAAAGGGAAGGGGCACCATCCACCCAGGAATGCCACAGGGGTAGAAATGATCAGCGAAATCTGCCGGTCGAGGATTCGGGGCAACGTGGAGAGGATGAGGGGGGTGGGGTGTGCTTCACGGGAGGGCAATGAACAAAAAGGTTGTTGTGAAGGACGGGAGGGAGGGGGCGAAGACATGAAAACATCCACCTGGGCCGGTGAAGGCAGGACCTCGTACTTATCCATAAGCGTAAATTACTGCTAAGAGAGACCTCCCCCTTCACCCTCCTCCGCCCCAAAGACCTGCATAGCGGGTGCTCCAAAACCGGGGGGAGGGGGGAACTTCTTCGTAGTATATTCCAAAAACGTATCTCGGAATCAAAGAAGCATGTATGTGTGTGGGCAAAGGTCCTTCCCCACCACGTGGGCCATCGTACGTTACGTTTCGCGCATATGCCTCCGCATCCACGTTTGCGGAAAGAATAGGCCACACATCCCTCTATTAACCAAGCCGCCATCACCTTATGGCTTTTTCGATCCCATTCCGCCGTGGCGACCCGCAGGTGTCAACAGCAACAATAAAGAACCAACAAGATGATGGTGGAAAGGCAGTGTCAATAGAGGGTGTGGTTACCTGTCAATTGTGGCCCTAGTAAGTGAGCCTCGTGCTGGGCGATCGATCATACACGTACACATGCCCATAATGTAAGCAAGCACACCGATTTGCAGCCATAGTTCTCAAAACATCCTCTAGGAGGCTCACGATTGACAGCGAGAGAAGGACAGTGAAATGCCTGTTTGTCTTTATGGTAAGAATTAGATTGCACTGTTCACTATGCCAGGCAGGGCGGGACAGGTGAAGAGGGTGCCCCTCCGATGCGTGCAAGGTGGACAAAGGAGAGAGACGATAACTTTGGCAAAAGAAGAGAAACGGTATCCACAATCGCTACATCTCCAAGTTCCTCATGATCATGGCTAAGCAAATGAAGAGAGTTTCCCCCCAAAATGCCGCATTCGTAAAAGGAAGGTGGGAAAAAAGGACGAGGAGATGACAAAAAAGCCTAAAAGGGAAAAAAGAAGAACGGTCGTAAATCATCAAAGAAGACAGCAAAAGCAGTCATGGGTATTAAACTCTTCCAGCAAGGTATAGTATGTTTTCCCTCACCGCATCCGTTACATCTCCTTGTCCTGTGTACACGTAGGCGACGGTGCTAGGCCAGGCCTCGGGGTGGGGCAGTGGCAGATCGATAACGTCTCCCGTCGTTATGTGACCAGAAACAATGAGGGCTGCCAACACCGGGAGTGAGGTTCGGGCGTACTGAAGATCTGGGGGTGGGTTGGGCGTTAGTTAACCTTGGTCTGTGTGCTCCCGGGAAAGGAGAAGGACCGGCTTCTGGGGCTACAGCCAGAAAAGTTCAAGTCCGCAAACGTCTATTCGGGATAAACTTGGGTGAGACACTACTTACGGATCGGCATGGTGGTAACGCCACGTGACGGGGTTATTCGGGCATCTCCAGATTTTAGTCCACGGCTGTAAGGAGGCGGGTTGAGTGCCGCGCTGCTCGACATCCTGCGTGCTGCGCTCGGCCGAGTTGGCGAGACAATCGGTAGTGGCGCAGTCTTGAGAGACTGCAGCGAAGGCCGCCGCCTATGGTCTACCGAAGCAGAGCTTGGCAACGGGTCTGGGACAGTGGAGCGTAACTGCTCAATGTCGAAGGTGCGCTGGATGAGAAATGGCTTGCGTTCCAGAGCGCGAGGGCGCACGCGAGCACGAATCGAGGTCTGGTGAGGTGGTGTCGTCGGTGTAGGCGGCATGTGTGAGGGTGACGAATCGCCGGTCGAAAGGTCCGAGTTGGTGCTGGCATCAGACTGCCGCCGGAGGGCCACTGCTTGGACAAAGACGTCGGAGGTTTTGGCATCACCCAGATATACGTGACCCCATGCTCTTAGTTGTTCGAGATGAAGACGCTTCTCAGCGTCTTTTGATCTTGCGAAATAACCGGTCCCCGCCTCTGACTGCCGTCGCTGGACCTCTTCGCCGAGGCCGGCAAGAAGCATGGATCGAGTCTCGGATGCGAGCGTCTGTCTCCTGTTGCTGGTGGCGGGCGGTGATACGGGGGTTGCCGAAGGCGGAGGTCCTGGCCGGCGCGGACTTATAGGTGCGGCGGCCGAGTACCGCCTCGCATGGCTTGCCGAATGTTCTGCGAGGGGGGAGAGGGGCCGCGGCCGATTAGCAGACTTTGGCGGGCTGAGGTCGACACGTTGTGCTTGGCGGATTCTATGGCCGAGACGGTCAACCATGGCTCGCTCGTGTTGTCTCATGGACCCATCGTCGGAGGGGAACACGGGCATAGGCAAACTTTTGGGTGACCGATCAGAAGGACTGTAATAGGAACTGGGGGCAGGAGCTATGCCGTCTGAGCGAGGAGCTATGCCGTCTGAGCGAGGAAATCCGCCGAAGTTATACTGAGAGCTCCATAGGGGATGGAGACTAGGACGAGGGTGGTTGTCAACCGGGGTAGTCATGGTGATGGTGATGGTGGTGGTGGTGATGATGATGATGATGTGAACACCACACAAGCTTCTGACTTGTGTCAATGGTTTATGGACACAGGAACAGAGTCAATTCAAAGCTGAAGTAACAGCGAACGGTCCCAGAGATGGAACGTGCAACCAAATAGATTGTATAGATGGTATGGTTATGATGAAGACAGAATCTACAAGGCTGTAAGGAGTTGACCAAGGGAGGAGGAGCCTTCTTATGTCTGGGCGGGGAGGAACGCGACGGGAATTAACATCTACTAGATGAAGGATGACCTTGTTGCCCTTCTCTTCATGTCTCTGGTTTCTTCCACCTTCTTTTTCCAAGCCCAAGAGAAAGACCTTTGCGCCAATTGCCGGGATCGGGAAATGAAAGGATCGGTAGGGTTGGCAGGCCTCTCAAAGAACAAAAGGGCTCAGCTAAAGGTACGAAAGACAAGGAGGAGGGGGTGTCTTTCCAGCTCTCTCTTTTCTTGCAAAGAGGACGGCTGGGGAGTGCGATGAGTAATGCAGTCGTCGACTCTCATGCAACATTGAGCGGTTGCGGCCAACACACAGCCCATGTCACAGTAGGTGAGAACAAAGGAGGTGAGCTAGGTAGGCATGTGGGTTTCCCAGAGCATAGCCATGGGTGACCGGGGGGCTTTAACTGGGAATTTCTGCAGAGGACCACGGATGAGAACAAAGGAAATACACCATGTCTGCGCTATGATTCGTCATGTTTCTGACCGGACAATTCAGTCTCGAGGGTTGGGGCTACACCCTGTCCGGGCTTGACGCAACGGGGACATATTGGTACTCTTCTCTAATGTCGCCTTTCGTGGATGGACAACCGACAATCTAGTGGGTCATCGAGAACGGGCGAGGAGCAGTGTCGGAGATAGTGATAGAGATAAGAGAGAGACAGAGGGGGAGAGAGAGGGAGAGGGAGAGATAGAAAGAACGCAACCAACACTGTCGAAGCTTGTGGGGTACAGGTGCATTGGCACTAGCAGTTGGACTAAGTTGGGCTTGCCGTCCTTGGCATGGCTGTATTCGTAAAGGTAGCTGGAATTAGTAGCTGGTTCGAAGTTGGCGAGCTGCTGTCTTCAGTTGCCGTGGCGAGGCCGAACGGCAACGTGTGGAGGCGGAACATCAACGGTGCCGATTGTGTCTTGGAGAAAGTCTTGGCCGTGTCCGTCGGCGATGGGGAAAAAATGGAAAACAGCGGAACAAAACAATGTTCAGACAGCAAAAGGGATCCTTGATCTCGATCCCTGGCTTGAGGGAGGTGAAAGGAGCAGGCAAACTGATGAGCTGATGGACGGATGGAATGAGACATACGGTGCCCGGAGAAGACGCCAGGAATGTAAAAGTTTGTGTCGTGCCTGATGTGAACCTGACCTTTGGCAGTTAGTTTCCTTTGAAGGAAGGGACGGATGGCACCGGGAATTCCAGCATCAGGCAAGGTTTCCTGCCTACGTGTCTCCGAGGCCATTCTCGGGTCCGTACAGTACCGTACCGTACCTAACCTACTGGAACGAGTGCCTGCTGATTGGGTCACAAACGCGCCTTCCTGTCTTGTCCATGTTTGCGACGGGGGGGGGAAAGGACGATGCTGATGCTGATGCTGATGCTGATGCCACCATCTGAAAAGGCTGGGTGGGGCAAGAGGGAGCTTGGACCACCCTTTCCTGCTTTCTGGCCAGAATTACTGATACGTTACGAGGTACGGATAGCTAGGCCTAGGTAAGCTGCTAGCAACAACGACTGACGACGTTGCACTCACTCACCACTTACTTGCAAGGCGCGAAAACTCAGAGGGACCACATCGCCGGCAGAGCAGGAACTGGTTACTTGTTCTTTTCTCTTTTTGCCCCTCCCTCTCACACACCCTACCTACCTGGGCAGGTACCTACTTGGGAGTCAAAGGGAACCCGTGTTGCTCTTTGATACCTTCAAGCTCCTTTTCGGGCCATGCTTTGAAATCCATTATTTCTTGTTTCCGCCAGAAACCCCATTCTCACTCTCTTCTCCGACATACTCTTTGGAGCCGCCATCGCAAACATGTCTGACGCTACGGCCGCGAGCTACAAGAAGCTCAAGGAGGACTTCGTCTCAAACCTCTCTGGTGGTTCCGCTTCAGAAATCAACTACGTGACTGCAGTCGCTCCCGTGCGTAACTATAATCTTTGCTCAAGAAACCCTGCCCCCCATCTTTCTTCCTCCTTTCTCTATGCCAGCGCATGCATCCAGATAAAGGAAGCTAACATGCGCGTCTCCCGCCGCTTCAGGTCGCCGTCCTGCTATGGTCCGTTCTCCAGTCCCGCCAGTCCTTCTTCAAGCCATACACTGTGCTGGGAGCTGTCCTCGACTACCTCCTCAACGTCACCGCCATTCTCCTCTCCACGACTCTCTACGCTTCCTCCCCCCTCCTCCTGAGCGCACTACTCCTCGCCCCCGCCGCCTTAACCTACGCCTTCCCTCCCAATCTCGGCGCCAGTCGCAAAAAGCCTGCCATACCCCCCAATGCCAAGTCCAAGGCCGCCGCCGCGGGCACTCCTAAAGCGTCGCCTTCGGCGTTGCCCCTCAAGCCGTTTCTGACGCACTATCGTGGCAGCATGCTCGTCGTCACCTGCATCGCCATCCTCGCCGTTGACTTCCGCCTTTTCCCCCGCCGCTTCGCCAAGGTTGAGACCTGGGGCACATCGCTGATGGATATGGGCGTCGGCTCCTTCGTCTATAGTGCTGGCCTTGTCGCTGCGAGACCTGTCGTGAAGGAGCGCGCCGAGGGTAGATCGACACCCCTGACAACGCGCCTGTTGCAATCGATGCGCCATTCCTTACCGCTACTTGTGCTGGGTGTCATCCGCCTGCTCAGCGTCAAGGGCCTCGATTACGCCGAACATGTCTCCGAGTACGGTGTACACTGGAACTTCTTCTTCACACTCGGCTTCCTGCCGCCCTTTGTAGCCATCTTCCAGTCCGCCCTCAAGATTGTCCCCAGCTACGCCGCCCTCGCCATCATTCTCAGTGTTCTGTACCAGGTCGCCCTCGAGAGCACGGATCTGAAGGCCTACATTCTGACCGCACCAAGAGTAGACCTGCTTTCCAAGAACCGAGAAGGTATATTCAGCTTCTTCGGCTACCTGGCCATCTTCCTTGCTGGCCAGGACACGGGCATGTACGTCCTGCCTCGCAGCATCAACCCCAAGAGCGACGGCACCCCTTCCACCCAGCGGAAGACGCTTCTCTTGACCATGGCCGTATGGTCTGCTGTGTGGGCCAGTCTTTTCTTCTTGACCACAAGCTACAGCTATGGCGACGGGTTGAGTGTTTCGCGTCGTCTTGCGAACCTGCCCTACGTACTTTGGACAGCAGCCTTCAACTCAACGCAGCTTTTGGCCTATGCGGTTGTCGATACCCTCTTCTTCCCATCGTCTTACAACGCCGCCGACGCCAAGGCGGAGAGGGAGGCTTACGAGACTGCCACAAGCAGGGTCCTCCGTGCGTACAATCGTAACGGTTTGTTCCTATTCCTTGTCGCCAACGTCTTGACCGGCCTGATCAACATGACCGTGCCGACGCTGCATGTTGGGCCGCTAGCGGCTATGAGCATCTTGATCGCGTACAGTGCAGCAATCACGGGCACTGCTCTTGGCCTAGATGCCTACGGTATTTCCATCAAATTGTAGCGCGCCTGAGAATATTCAAGCTTGTATATATGACAATCAAGATTCAGTTCATATGATCTGCGACCGCCTGGTTTAATAAAACACGAAACAGCAATAACCGGAGGAAATTCAACATTGCTCTCCGAGTCCTCCAGGAGCGCATCACGCATGCTCCAAGGCAGGAGCATAAGTATGGTTACGATCCTGGATATCACGTGTCAACGGCCTGGGGCCAGACTGCGCGACCCCTTTTGCATGATGAGCCGGGTACCAACAACAACAAACGCCTCAGGCCAATCTCGACACAACCCGGGCGGGAGGGGTGGAAGGCGATACGTCGCTCAATTCAGCCCGCTGCAAAATCGCAGTCATATGGTGACGCACTACAGCTTGGCAGGATCCTACGTCGCAAGAGGAACTGTCGCCGAGGCTGATGATGACATGACAAAGCGGCCTGCATGCCGGTTATACGACTCCGGGGAGGGCTCATCATGGCATGAACAAAGCCCTCCCTACTCGCCCGCACAAACCTGGCCAATGCTGCTCTTCCCCCAAAGAAACCAAGAGCGCATTGATGCTCTTCCTTTGCCTGACGCTGTCGATCCAATAAAGTCATCCACTCCGTCGGGTTTAGAATCATTCTAGAAAGTGAGGTGGGACTGGAAAGAACAGGGTGAGGGTAAGCAGGAAGCACGGGTGGCAGACTGGGTTCCCTGCCCATGTTCCTCGGGAACACCGTTGGCAGACCATAGACTTTCGCATGGCTGAACGCGTGGACTGCATGTGTGTACATAGTAAGTGTGCTTCCTCCGAGCTGTGACGCGGCGTGAGTGCCCCGCATAGGATCCCGATATGGTCCAAGGACGACACTGTGTTTGCTTGCCTGCCAGGGTCGTCCTGGAACCATGTTGACATTGGGGAATGGCTACGCAGTAATCGAGACGGATGGGCATAGATGGGTCGTAGTTTTCGCGCGATTAGGTATCCGGGTTGTTGTGAACGGGGTCGTCCATGGGCGCCTGTGAATTGGGGGTGGGGATGAACACCTCCATATTGGCCCGGTAAGCCGCCAGCTAACTGGTAAATTTGGTTCTCACAAACTCATTTTGGACTGCCACACGGCAATGTTGTTGAGAAGAGGGGTCGTCGCGCCCGCAGAAGAACATGGCAAACAAACAACACAAACAATTAAGCGTCCAGCGGGCGATGAGCGACCGTCCCGTCGTCAGCGAACGAGGCGGCGCATCGTCTGATGGAAAGCTGGGATGATGTCACTGGACGACGAACGCCGCTAGGGGCCCAAGTGCCGAGTTTGGCTGGGCTGACCCGGCAAGATTTTTTTCAATGGGGCAGCTCGCTTGATCCAGACCCGGGGAGACAAATAAGAAGATTGCCAGCTCGTGCCTTTGCAGGATTTCAGCAGCCGCGAGGGAGATGCGACAGTTGACGGATGCCAAGGGACATGACTTGCGGCCGGGGCTGCGCATCACTTGTTCCGCAAGTCGAGCCCGAGGCCACCTACTACTTACTACCTGCCTGTATGTAAGCTATCCTGTATGTAAGCTATCCATGAGGGTCATTCTGCTTTGAGCCTTGCGCCGGAGCAGGCTGATCCTTGCAGCACACCATGCGACTCATTTCCGACATCAATGCTTGGTCGACTTGACTTCCCTCCAAGAGTACGGAGTAGGTAGACAGACTTTGCGGGGTCAGTGGCAGGATCATGCCATTTTCGATCTTCTGTTGGCGGTCTCGCATTTCTGCGGAAGCAATGGCCAAGGCATGCCGAGGCGCTGCTTGAAAGGAAGCGCTTTCTGGTGAACCGTCAGCCCTGGGTAGACCCGAGCCCAGTTTATCAACAACAGGCGCTCGGCGTAACGTTGAGAGACCCTAGGATGAGTAAAATCGACCGACAGGGTCGCAAAAGATGCCCAGCCTTACACAAGAGGACCAGAGGCGCCTAGTACTTAAAACCAGCTGTCACAGTAGATTCTTGTGTTCCCGCTAGTAGATCTGCCGATTCGAAAGACAAGCGAATGCTATAAGCATACGAGTAGCAGAGCCGGAACCGACGGTATCTCGTTCGCGTAGGTGGGGCGATGGTAGGGCGACCGAGCGGCTGTGATGGATGCTTGTCGGGCGAATCATGATGCCAAAAGGGTTTGGCATGAAGGAAGCAACTGGAGGTGGAAAACGTCTAGAAAATTGCTTGATGACATAGCTGGATATTTCGTGCACGGGTCGCGTCGTCAATGCCATGAAAATTACCAGGCAACGCTAGGCATAACGTACAGAGTACAAAGATAAAGGCGACTGAATTCATTGAGTCAAGGGATGTCACTGTTAGACATAATAAGTCGATGTCAGGTACCAGTTCCGGCGGGCTGGTGTTTTGGGTTGCCGAACGGTGCGCATAAGACGGCGAAGACGAGATAGTGACGGCTTCGAAATGGATGCGTGGGGAGGTCAGCAGCTGACGAAATTCTTTGCGCAAACTTCACATCTATGAAGGCAAGGGGAAGTCAGCCGTCCGGTCTCGCAAACACCGGCCGCTAGCCAGTCAGGCTCTGGACAGTAATTGAAGAAATGCATATGGATACTGACACGTCAATACAAGGGACCTCGCTGCGGCCTTAATTGCAAAAACAAGCAAGCCTATACCGCTATGCCACAACAAACAATATGGACCCTGTCTTCGCATAATCGCGTCGTGGATGGTGGAGCGCAGAAAAGACACCATTTCGTGCTGTGTTGTCCCCCGTAGTGTACGAAAACACGATTCACTGACTGAAAGCGCCACGCCCCGTCCACGCACCCACCCTTGAACTGGCTACAGTCAGGGTAGAATAGGATCGGATGAAATGCAAATCGTTTGCAAACGAACTCTTGTGATTGACTCTAGCGCCTGCAGCAGCTGGTGCTTCTGATGATGATAAGCGAGAATGGCAAGACCCTGGACCATGTTTTCATCCTGGCCCCTGTCGCGTCGTTGGCCAGCGCACTGATGAGCAGGGATGAGGGACGTTTTGTTTGGAGATGACCACCTGAACACAGATGTCAATCGTGATGCGACTCTGCTGCATGAGCAAAGGGCAGATATCAATGCAGGCCGACATGCGTTGTGACCTTGAATTTCGGACAAGCACTCACCGTCTGCATCTGACAAGCTTATCGGAGCCGGACGCATTGGCATTATGCATCGTATCTAGTTCTCGATGGTGTCATGCACTCTGGGCTTGGAGGACGATGTGATGCTGCTGGATGGCCCAGGCAAGGTGTTGCTCCTCTCATCGTTGTCGGACGAGGTGGAGTGCGGCGTCGAGGCTTGATGCTGGCTCGCTCGACCGAGTCGAATTGGGGTCGCAAAACTTTGCCGAGGCCGAAGCCAAGCTCCTCGACTTGTGGTGAAAGGTGAGGTGCGGACGCCAGCTTGGAAGTTTGAGGCTAGAGAAACTAGAGCGACTGGCAGAAATTGAGCCGTGGAGACCGTGCCGGGACTTGTAGAGGGTAAGATGCTTTTGGGCAATAAATCTTAGGAGGAATAAGCAAAGGAAAGATTCGGTCGGGTGACGAGAGGGAAGGTACCTGCCCAAGGTAATTACCTACTAGAATGATATTACCGTCCGGGTAGGTATGTACCGGCGTGATAGGTAGCCAAGGCAGGAAGGAGTGCTCGCATGTTGGGCTTTCCTTTCCGTATCTGCACCTCTCCTTCCTTCTGTCTGATCACCGCGCCCGCCTAGTCCTCCTTCATCTCTTTCTGCCTAGGTACCTTACCTAAGGTAGGTAGGTCGCCGGACACTCCCCTCCCTCCCCTCCCGACTCTCCACATCCTACCACCGCGCCTACTCGAGTCAACGACAACCTTGTCTGCGCCGGGCTCGAAGGTGGTCGAGATTGAATTCCAGGTGCTCCCTTCGACATTCACGAGCAAAAGACCGAATACCTACCGCCCATCATCAAAGCCAATGCACACACCAATCATTAGCGTCGAATTCCAGGAACCGCGCCAGCAGCAGACCAGCAGCCCACGTTTCTTCCGCCTGTTGTGCAACGCCCTCAGTCTTAGACTAACACAATTCACCTCCGACCTACAACATGCTCGTGCTTTGGCTGAGACCCGAACTCAGACAGGCCAAATTGTGAACAATTAGACTCGTCAATTTATACATTGGGTGAGAGAAAATCATCTACTCTTCAGATTGCCGTCACCGGCCGTCGCTTCCGAAAGTCCACCTTTTCCGTCGAGAAGCCTCCCCGCGTGCCGGTTTTCTCTCGACAGTAACGGAAGGGAAGGTCAATTCATTCCGGGCGTCGCTACGTGGAGGAAATTATTGAGGACGAGCAATCAATCTTCGATAGCCATGGGCTAGCAACACCAGCCGATCGGTCACGGAACCGAGGAATCGACCATGCTGGATCGGACACACCACCCGCCAGTCCCTTCTCCTCCAAGGAAGAGAATAAGCAACAGCAAGTAGCTGTCCATTCTGCCGGAATACGCCACCCGTCTGAACATCCGACTGAGGTGGTGCTTGGACAGTCGTAAGAGGAGACTGAAGTATCTAGGTATCCCTGCCTGTACAGTCTGAGCGACAACGGTCAAGTCTCTAAATCGTGGCGGTAATACAAAGCTGATAACCTTTTACGGCGATGATGCGGATCAAAGATATCTTCCTCCCTGTCCCCCGTCCCGGCTCAGCTCATTGCTGAGGAGGTTCAGCCCAACTCGGCTCCATCTCCTCTCCCGTCTTGTCAACATCGCAGACATCCTCACCGGGCGAACCTTTGCAGTTGCATAACCCGTCTCTAAGTCTCCTGCAATCCTCCTTCCACTTATATTGCAGCCGGTGGATTGCCAGGCTTGACGGCAGCTGCACCAACACCAACGCTCAAGCTACCTAGCCATCGTAGCAATCTATTAGTCGTCTGTCGCAGTCGCGGTTGCATGCTGCAGTGGTGGGCAGCATTAGCGGATATTAGCGAGTATCTGGTACCTGCATCCGCTGCTAGGTTGCATG